GTGTGCCCGAGACCAGGAACCCCTGCCCTGGGCCCGGCCTCCTGAGAAACAGGTGCTTGGCGTCATCCTTCCAGGTCTTTTTCTCTTCCCCGAGTCAGGTGTTCACATCCCTGTCCTTAGGGAGCCTGTCTTTTGATTAAGAAAAACACGGAAGAGTTGCTTTTCCCGGCAGCCTGGGTTTGCTGGGGAGGGTTCTAGAATGTCTGCCGAGCAAGGCCTGGCCGCGTCCGGACCTCAGCGTCTGCATCCTCAGGGAAGGGTTGGTGGACGCCTGGTTCTCCCCGAGCGAGTGCAGCCGTCCTGGCGGGTCCCCGGGGCATTTTTGCTCTTCCCAATGCGCTCGATGGTGGGTGGTCACTGCCAGGTCTGTCTCCTGCGCTCCTGGTTCCTGGTCCGAGGAGGCCCAGCTTTGCGTTTCAGTCCCTCAGCCAAACCTCTAAGGGCTCTGCTGCCCCGGCTCCTCCTTGCCAGTCCCTGCCCCTGGCAGAGACCATGGGCGCGGGCAGCGGGCACCCTTGCTCTTGACTTTGAACATTCAGCAGCCGCCTGCTTCCCTTGATTGGAAGGATTGTTCAACCCTTTTCCCCAGGTCAATCACAGAAAGAACCACGTGGACTTCGTGGAAGGTATCTGGAGAGAGGTACGTTGGACCATGAGCTGGCAGCCACTCTTAAATTTTATTTATTTTTAATTTTTTATTAATTTGAGAGAGAGAGAGAGAGAGAGAGGAAGTGGGGAGAGAAAAACATCAATTTATTGTTCCGCTTGTTTATGCATTCATCGGTTGACTTGTATGTGCCCTGGCCGGGGACCAAGCCCACAACCTTGGCGTATCGGGAGGATGCTCTAACCAGCTGAGCCACCTGGCCAGGGCCGCCAGCAGCCCCTCTTATGTAGGGGATGGCGGGAGCCGTCCTGAAACCCCAGTCCCCAGGGCGAGCCCAGGGCCAGCCTTGCCAGCTGACCCGGGGAGCAGCCTTCCGCCTGCTCGCAGACTCTTCCTGCACGGTGCTGGTAACGTATTTTAGGAAAAACTTCATTCTGATATTTAAATTATTTTTACTCTTTCAAAAAATTTTTAAATAAGAAAAAAAAAAGACTCGAAGTATTTTTGTCTGGACAGTTGACAATTGTCAGCTTACAATTCATCAATTTCAAAATTCTCAATTAAAGTGAATTCCAAAGGTCAGGGGTGAGGAGGGCTGCTACTAGACGTCCAAAAAGCTCCAAAGCCTTTGGCCGAGGTGGCGGCCCCGGGGGTGGGCGTGGGGGTGGCGTCTGCACTGCGGCCCACCCTGCGGCTCACAGGTGCTGCACAGGGGCATGGAGAACAGACCACGGCGCCTTTCAAAATAGGGAGCAGTTGGACCTGAGGGCTCATTTCAGCTTCTCTCAGCCACTGTGTGAGGGCAGTGGGCAGCGAGGGGTCTGCGCAGGCCTGGTCAGGGCGCAGGAAGGGCCGAGTTTGTCCTGCACCAGGGACTCTGTGCCTTGGAGGGGATGTTGGGAGGGGATGGGCTCAGGCCCCCTGGTGGTAGGCCGGCCCGTAGACGGAGCCAGCAGGGGGTCTGACCCAGCGCTGGACGAGGGCTTTCATCGCAGGGCTCTGCCTGGCCGGGCCCCAGCGACAGTGGTGCCCAGGCGTGTTGGGTGCCATGTGACTGAGGCAGTTTAAAAGATCTATTTGGGAGGCAGGTCACGCCAACTTTGCCGGATCGGTGAGGGAAGCATGACTGTAGACCAGGGGCTGCACCTGCCCGCTGCTGGGAGGGGCTCAGTGGCTTTGGCGTCAGTTTTTAGATCCTTACGCGGGTTTGGAGGACACCCCCGCCCACCTGGCCTGTGGCTTCAAGGACTGTTCTCCAGGTGACGTGACCGGCCACGGGCCTGCGCACACACCGACGCCCGGGAGCCCAGAAGTCCACTCAGGAGACCCCCTCTTATCAGAAGGTCCAGCCGTGAAAGCCACCGGCGGGGCTCCCGTGTCCCTGGGGGACAACGATGTGGACATGCAGCCCGCAGAAATGACGGAGGAAGACTGGGGGCCCCTCCTCCCTGCCGGGGAGCCCCCCGAGACTGGTCGGCGCCTGCAGGGCAGGGCCAGAGTGTCACGGCCGCCACCCAGACTCGCGAGTGAGAAGGACAAGGCGCCCAAGCTCTCACTGTCCAAGAGGAAACTGGAGCTTCTGCTGTCGGAGCCCGAGAAGAGGAAGAGGAGGAAGCAGTATGCGGCCTAGACCCAGGTGAGGGGGTTGGGGGGGGCGACCGTGGGCGGGACCCGGGCGGAGCTCCCGCTGTTGGAGGAGCAACACAGCCCCATCTCATTCTGCTGTCTCACCTGTGCCGCTCCAGGGACATCTGAGCCGATGGCTTTTTTTTTTTTTTGGCAAACATTTAAAAAGTGTATTTTGATTGACTTCAGAGAGGAAGGGAGAGTGAGAGAGAGAGAGAGAGAAAGCAACATGAATGATGAGAGAGAATCCTTAATCGGCTGCCTCCCGCACACTTCCTACTGGGGATCGGGCCTGAAGCTGGGCATGTGCCCTGACTGGGAATCGGATCATGGCCTCTGGGTTCCTAGGTCGAGGCTCAACCGCTGAGCCGCCCAGCCCGGCTGAGCGCCGGCTTTGGCTCATTCGGGCGAGCATGGTCCCAGGGCAGTGATATCCGAACACAGCAGGGCGGCTGCTCTCGTGCTTCCCGATTGACAGTGTTTCATTCCTCGCAGGCAATGACCGCACGCCCTCCGAGCCCCCTGCCAGCCACTGCCTGCAGCCCCGGGACCACGCTGTTCCCAGTGCCAATAAAGGGTCCCCCGAGGACAGGGCTGCGTGTCCTTTGGCGCCCGGGCCCTGCGAGTCGCTTCTCCTCCAGGGCAGCCTGGGCTGGTGGCCTGTGTGGTGGACTGGCTCCTCGGGCGGGTGCTGTCATGTGCCCCCTGGCCCCTCAGATCCCCTTCTGCCAGTTCAGCCAGTGAGAACAGGTAGGGCTGTGGCCACTGTCCAGCTGGACCCTCCAGGAGCAGGGCCAGTGGTGGTCCCAGAGATGAGGTCCCGAGTCAGCGAGGGGCTGGGTGGGGCGAGGCTGGAGGAGGCCCTGCCCTGGTGGCGTCACCTCGGGCGTGGGGTTGGGAGGCCGTTGGCGCTTTGGGCACTCCTCCTGGGCAGTCCTCAGCGGGGAGCTGGGACCCTGGACCTGCAGGACGGCCCCAGGCTGAGGTGGAGGATGGTGTCTCAGTGGTGGCTGGGTGGCCAGTAGCTGAGTTGCTGCAGCCAAGTCCTCCGCCCCGTGGGGAGCTGTTCTGCGCTCCCTCCCGCGGGGCCTCTGGATCACGGCGAGTTCCTCTCCTGTTCTGGACCCTCACCTGGCGCCACATCAGCTTCTGTGCTCGGGACCCTCGCCCGTAAGTGGGGTGAAGTGGGGTGAGCTGGAGGGTCGGGACCCTCAATCTGCTGGGGCCTCACCACACAACCCTGGGAACTCTCGCAGGGACCCGGAAGGGAGGCCACACCCCCTACGCCGCCCTCACGTCCCCCTGAACAGGAGCAGCCCTCGGACTGCCAGCCGCCTCTCCCTGCCGCCCCCTAAGATCTGCGGGAATGAGACGCTGGGAGGAAACGGGACGGGTGGCAGAGCCGGACGAGCACCTCGGCACCCGCTCCCCCGTGAGGGGCTGCACAAGCTAAGGTATCGGTTATTTATTTTTATTGACTTCAGAGAGGAAGGGAGAGGGAAATCATTGATCGGCTGCCCCCTGCATGCCCCACACTGGTGATCAAGCCCGCAACCTGGGCGTGTGCCCTGACCGTGACCTCCTGGTTCATAGGTTGATCTCAACCACTGAGCCACACTGGCTGGGCTCAGGTATTGGTTATTGATCCAGGACACCTGGCTGCTCGGTGTCCCGAGGGGTTCCTACCCAGGCTTGTAATTCAGCAGCTGCAGCAGAGCTCACAGTGCCCGAGGCGGTGCTGAGACAGATGAGGCGGAAGCCGGGTCATGCTTAGTGTTTTATTTAATAAAACAAGCCATGCCATCGACCCTCAAAACACGTGCCTGGGCCCGTCCACCTCACCTCCCACCAGTCCTGACCGTCCGTCCTCACGCTCCTCCAGCCTCAAACCGACGACCTGGCTCTGACAAGTGCATGCCTTTCGAAGGTTTAAGAATGAGAATGAGTCCGTGTTAAATATTGCATCGTCCCCTACAGACGGGAGCTGGGAAACGTCGTTCACTCCGTGCACAGGACGGCGACCCCACGCTCGTAGAAGCTGCGAGGGTCTTCCTTGGTGGCGATTTCAAAGTCCACCGTGAAGATGAGGTCTGCCCGGGTGAAGTTCAGGTAGACGGGTAAGGTCACCTGCAAGGAAAGGCGGGGTCAGTGCTGGCGGAGGGAGAGGGAGGGAGAGGGAGGCAGCGGAGGGTGGGCAGGGTGGCGGCGAAGGCGCCAAGGGCCTTCCTGAGGAAGTGGGGCTCCTGGACTGTGGACCAGGTGCGGGTTCCGCTCCTGGGTGGACGGGGGAGGTGACTTCGCTCTGGTTACGGGGTCGTGTCTCCCCGACCACAGAGGCCAGGAGGCGCCACCTACCACACTAGCCTTCTTCTCTGCGTTTGTCTGCTTGACCCAGCGCAGCTGTGTGAGGGGCAGGACCGTGGAGATGGCGTTGGAGAGCGAGAGCTTGTTGTTGCTGCACATGGCCCCCTGCAGCTTCAGACCTGGAGGAAGGACCAGCCATGAAGAGTGAGAACAGCCCGGGAACCCGCGGCCCAGCTCCAGCTCCTGGCCCTCTGACCTCCTTCCACACGTCTGGGGGCGACACGGAGGCTGGGTCCACACCCTCCAACTCACCCGTGACCCCAAAGCTGCAGGCGTCCAGGGTGGTGTTCTGCGAAGTGGTGACATTGACCTCCAGGCAGAGCTCCTCCAGGGACCAGCTATTGGCCTGGGCCACGTACTGCCTCGTGGCGGTGATGTACGCCTCGGGCACAAACAGGCCACCCAGACACACGTGGATGTTCTGTGGGGAGAAGCAGCCCCGGTGAGGAGCACGCCCCACACGTCCTCCCAGGTCAGAGCTGGGCCTCTGCTTGCCCGCACCC